GTGTGTGTGTGTGTGTGTGTGTGTGTGTGTGTGTGTGTGTGTGTTGGTTTGTTGATTGGTTGTGGGGCTTGAATTCTGGGCCTGAGCGCTATCCCTGAGCTCTTCAGCTCAAGGCTAGTGCTCTTCCACTTGAGCCACAGTGCTGCTTCTGGTTTTCTGGTGGTTAATTGGAGATAAGAGTCTCACAGACATTCCTGCCAAGGCTGGCTTTGAACCGCGATCCTCATATCTCAGCCTCCTGAGTGGCTAGCATCACAGATGTGAGCCACTGGCCATGGCTGATATACTGTTTTATAAACTTAGCTCCCTGTGCTTGCTAGGCAGGCATTCTACCACTAGAGCTGTGCTCCAGCCATTTTTGCTTTAGTTATTTTTTCTGAATAGAGTTGCATTTGTGTCTGACTGGCCTGAACTACTATCTACCTATTTTATGCTCCCTGCAGAGCTAGAATAATAGGTGTGAACCACCATACTTAGTTTTTATTGATTGAATTGAGGTTGAGATGAGGTCTCAGACTTTTGCCCACGCTGACCTTGAATTGCAATCCTCCTAGGCTCTACTCCGAGTAGCTAGGATTACAAGGTTGAGCTAGCTTCTGATAAGTTTTCATAACCAGTTAGAACTTAGCTTTTAAAGCGTAATTGAGAGGAAATTTTAGACATTTATAAACTTCTCACTTATAGATGGTATAAGTCTCTTGACTAAGTGACTCTTGATAGTTTGATGTGTAATCTTTTGTTGATAGTTTGCCCTTAAGCTTCACTATTAAGAGTAGTTGTTAGTTTTGTCATTAGTAACCGTAGTCCATTTTGTTGTGTCAGGTATGAAAGTATTATTGCCACACTCTGTGAAAACTTAGACTCCCTAGATGAGCCAGATGCTCGAGCAGCTATGATTTGGATTGTGGGAGAATATGCTGAGAGAATTGACAATGCAGATGAGTTACTAGAGAGCTTCTTGGAGGGTTTTCATGATGAAAGTACTCAGGTAAGTTCTCCTTTGTCCCATGTCCTAGATCTCTTTGGGAAGATATCAGAGACAGTTTCCTGTGTGTGTGTGTGTGTGTGCGTGTAATCAGTTTTCCTGTGTGTGTGTGTGTGTGTGTGTGTGTGTGTGTGTGTGTGTGCGTGTGTGCGTGTAATCAGTTTTCTACCCAAAGCAAAGGGACGACTTTTTCAATTGTACTGATGTCTGGTGTAACAAACTTGCATAACCTAGGTTAGTGAATCTCAAAACTTAATGAACATCAGAAACACCTGAGGGGTTTGTTGAAGAAGCACAGGTTGCTGAGCCTTGCCCCAGAGTATCTGGCTCCATAGGTCTAAGATGGGCCTATGTGCTCACATTTCTTACAGGATTCAGAATGCTGCTGCTGTTCCCACTCATGGTGGTTCAGCAGCTGGTCATAATAATCTCAGCAGTAGTCAAATTTTTGTTTTCTGTTATTTAATAATGATTATACATTCATCTTAGCAATTATTGTGGTTCCTTACAGCAGAGATTTTTACCTGAGACTGTGGCAAGGCATGAAAAGATTTCTCTGGATAAGACTTTCCTATCTATCCCTCTTCCTGAACAAAATAGCAGCCACAGGCCCAGAGAAGCAGATCAATTATTAGGCCTTTTCCTCTCACAGCAACTAGAAGTTCATATATGTAATCTATTACAACAATTTTAATTTTAATGGGCCTAATGGCAGTTAATAGTAGCTCAGCTAATAGCTGTAATATGACATAAATAGCTGTAATATGACATAATTTACTGTTTTGGCCTTTTCCCCAGTATAACAGGTAATTCCATAATCCCCTAAGCGTCTAGGTTTTGATAGGAGTAAATAGTATAACATTTGATCAGGACTCAGTTCTATCACTATCAGTATGTTAGTATGCAGTGTAAAAAGTACAGGTGGTAAATCAGTCCTAGAAACAAGCCATAGTACAATTTGAGACTGAGGCTAATGAGTTTTCAGAGAAACCTTTGGTTGCTATATTGTTATTGGCTGAGTTTCATCCTTTGTCTATAACCATAATCAGAAAGACTCCTTGGAAATTTATTCTCTTAGAGTCACTATTTTGGAGATGATCCCAAGGAAAAACCCATATAACTTTTTTTTTTCTTAATCAAATCTTACCTGTTTAGGTGCAGCTTACTCTGCTTACTGCCATAGTGAAGCTGTTCCTCAAGAAGCCATCAGAAACACAGGAGTTGGTCCAGCAAGTCTTAAGTTTGGCCACACAGGTAAGAAATCTGAAAAAAGTGAGTTGATATTCCATGTTTCACACTGTAAGAGTTTATTAAACTCTTTTCAAGAAGGTTTATTTTGGGATGTGTTAATTATAAGAAATGCAGTCTTTAAATTTTGTGACAATAGTAAAACAATACCTCTTAACACAACGCATTCCACTCAATTGTAATTGATTCTTACAGCTTTTAAATATGAGGTTGTCTGACTTGAGTTTAAGTGGTAATTCATAAAAGTTGAACTTGGACTTTTTTTTGAACTGGTCCAGGGGCTTGAACTCAGGGTCTGGGTGCTGTCCCTGAGCTTTTTTGCTCAAGACTAGTGTTTTACCGTTTGAACTACAGCTCTTCTTCTTGCTTTTTATGAACTATATTGGAGATAAAAGAGTCTTACAGACTTTCTTGCTTGGGCTGGCTTTAAACAGTTCTCAGTTCAGCCTACTAAGTAGTTATCAGTACAGGCATGAGCCACCAACACTCACCTGAACTTAGATTTTTAGTGTTAATGAAGGTATGTAAAATAACTTTGAGTCTAATAGCTTCAGGGCAACATTAGCTTTCATGTCAGAGTGCTTCTGCTACTTCCATGGATTTAAAAAAATGATTTTAGCCCGCTAAATTATGTGATAGTTTTGATCAGAAGAAAAAGATTTGGAGCCAGGCATGGGGGCACACACCTATAATCCCAGCTACTCAGGAAATCAGGAGAATCATGGTTTAAGTCCAACCCTGGCAAAAAAAAGTTAGTGAGAGCCCCATCTTAACCAACAAGTCAGGCACATGTGCATTATGAAGCTCAGTTAATACAGAGAAGCTTCTCAGGCTCTTGTTATTGTCAATTGTGTTTACTTTTTGTCTTCTGAGTATACCTCTGCTCTTATTAACTTTATGAAAACATACTTCCTCAAAAGAAAATGGTGCCCAAAAAGCAACCAAGTGTTATGGTAACTCACAAAGGCAGAAAAGGGGGCAATAATACACTTAATTTAAATAATAAAGTGAAACTTTTAGATTTGTTGAAAGATCTTTAGTGGAAATTGGGTAGTGCTATGGGAAGAATGGATCAAACATTCCTGATACAGTACTGAACTGAGTATAGTACTAAGCAATTGTGGGTTCTCCTCAATGGCTTTGTCCTTGACCCACATACCTGCAGATACTATGTGTCTACTGTACTGCCAGTAAAATGTGCTGCAAAGAGATAAAAAGTAAAATAAATAGAATTTAAATTATATAAACTAAAAAATTGAATAAATTCTGTTGGGTTTTGATTTGGAAATATGGCCAGTGGCCTTAGTGCTCAAATTACATGTCTTGGGTACCAGTGGCTCATGTCTATAATGTTAGCTACTCAGGAGGATGATATCTGAGGATTGCGGTTCAGTGCCAGTCTGGGCAGTTAACCACCAAAACGCTGGAAGTACAGCTGTAGTTCAAGTAGTAGAGCATAAAAGCTTGGCTGCTGTCAGAACAAATACCATACTGTTAATTATGATAATTTTGGGGATGAGGAAATGAGAAGTGGAAGGGTTTGAATGATTAAGGGAGATTTCTTTCTGTAACGACATGCTCTTGTTTTATTTTTTGGCAGTACTGGAGTTTGAACTTCTGGCCTTGCATTTGCCAGGCAGGCATTCTTACTACTTAAGCCATGCTTCCAGCCCTATACACACTGCTAAATTGTGCTGCATAGCATTAATATTTTTATAGCCATGAGCATATATGAAATTATTTTAAAACTACAACAGTAAAAGGCCACTAAACTCAAGTCCTGCCCATTTTGAAAAGTGACATGCTCTCTTTAATGTGTTTTTTTTTATAATATTTTGATACTCTTAATATTCTGAGCTCCTTAGGTACTTTGTGTGATCCCCTTATTTCCACAGCCTAACCAAGGTTTGTAAGATGCTTACAAATATTTGAGTCAAGAAGGGAAGGTATGTGCTTGTAATCCTAGCTAAGCTAAAGTCCAGAACAGTCCATGAGACTCCATTTCCAAACTGGCTCAAATGGTAGAGCACCAGACTAGCAAGTGCAAGGCCCTGATTTCAAAGCCTGATACCAAAAAAAAAAAGGGTGGGGAGGAAGGTATTAGTGAAATAATGTAAGATATAATGTGTATTGTGAATTCTCTTGCTAATATTTATGGTTTTAAAAATACTATTTTCCCATTGTCATCTCAAACCAGTTCACTTACCAATTTTAAGTTTATTTCCTTTTCTAACTTGCTTTAGAATTTGCGTCTTAACACTGAATTCATCTCAGTTCATGTTAAAATTCCTTAAAACATTAGAGACTATAAAATTATAAAATGTGCTGGGCGCCGGTGGCTCACGCCTGTAATCCTAGCTACTCAGGAGGCTGAGATCTGAGGATCGTGGTTCAAAGCCAGCCCAGGCAGGAAAGACCGTGAGACTCCTATCTCTAATAAACCACCAGAAAACCAGAAGTGGCGCTGTAGCTCAAGTGGTAGAGCTCTCGCCTTGAGCTGAAGAGCTGAGGGACAGCGCCCAGGCCCAGAGTTCAAGCCCCACGACCGACAAAAAAAAAAAAAAAATTATAAAATGTAATTGAGTCTCAGTGAAATATATAATCACTAGTCTGCATAAATCACTACAGATCTAACAGTTTCAGTTTTTGTGTGGAGACTGGTTCCATATATATATGTATATATACATATATATATACTGTAAATATATATTATACACATTTATATATTATATATTTATATATATTAATCTTTTCATTAGGATTCTGATAATCCTGACCTTCGAGATCGGGGCTACATCTATTGGCGCCTTCTCTCAACTGATCCTGTGACTGCCAAAGAAGTAGTCTTATCTGAGAAGCCCCTCATCTCTGAAGAGACAGACCTCATTGAGCCAACTCTACTGGATGAGCTTATCTGCCACATTGGTTCTTTGGCCTCTGTGTACCATAAACCTCCCAATGCATTTGTGGAAGGGAGTCATGGGATCCATCGCAAACACTTGCCAATTCATCATGGGAGGTAAGCTGTGAACTAGATTTGAGTAAAGTGACTCTGTTTAGACAGAGTTGATCTTCCTGCTTATGAATCCTGGAAAAGAACGTGGTATGCATACCTATTGCTATTACTGCTGTAGGGTCTTCCTCTGTTCCAATCTAAAAGTACAGTAAAAGCTTTAGAAAATTATGATGAAGACCTTCCAAACAGTCTAAAAGTTGCTTAGGTCTTTAGTAAGATGGGGCTAAAAATATTCCCTGAGTTGAAAAAAAGCATATTTGTACATGTAGAATCTGTTCCTTTATAGTAGCTTTGATTGAGGCTTATGGATAAAGTTAGTGGATGCTGCTTCTCTTAACTCATAAAAATATTAATGAAACTATTTTCAAGATTGTTTTATATGAAAAAATTCTATATCTGAATATAGATTTTTAGTTACATATACCTTCTTTACCAAATTGATTTTATCAATAAGAAAAATCTGTTAGGCACGTACTTCCAGATAGCATGGAACTTTTGCTTTGTAGCTAGCTATCTTAAAATTTTAATTAAGGAGCCGGGCACTGGTGGCTCAGGCCTGTAATCCTAGCTACTCAGAAGGCTGAGATCTGAGGATCATGGTTCAGAGTCAGCCCAGGCACAAAAGTCCATGAGACACTTATCTCCAGTACACCGCCAGAAAGCCAGAAGTGGCACTGTGGCTCAAGTAGTAGAGCACTAGTCTTAAGCTGAAGAGCTGAAGGACAGCGCCCAGGCCCAGAATTCAAGCCCCATGACTGACCAAAAAAAAAAAAAAAAATTAATTAAGGAGAAGTACTCTAATAAACTCATATGATAGATATCTCAGAAGTTTTTCAGAATCTGATTATAATCATAACCAACCATAAATCTAAATGAACTATGTTCCCAGAATAGACTAATCAGGCTTTTGTTAGTGAATACCTTCTACTGTTATTTATATTTCTGTTTTAAGTGGTTAATAAGTGGCCAAAGCATAGAATTTATTACTTTACAAATTGTCATAGTCTTTATTTTAGTGTCTGTAGACACAGAAAACAAAAGAGAAAGGGTAACACCCAGGAAAATGATTATTAATCTTTGATGGACCCTAGTTGAGTTGGATCTGTGATTTTAGGACTTGTACTTTGATTTTAATCCAAAGATGTGTGAATTCATAAGGATTAGGTCTTAAACTGAGTTGGAACATTTTTCCTTGCAGACAAACAGGTTTCATATTCTTTCATTATAACTAATTTTTTTTTTTTTTTTTTGGGTTGTGGGGCTTGAATTCTGGGCCTGGACTGCTGTCCCTCAGCTCTTTAGCTCAAGGCTAGCACTCTGCCATTTGAGCCACAGTACTACTTCCAGTTTTAAGGTGGTTAATTGGAGATAAGAGTCTCACAGACTTTCCTGCCTAGGCTGGCTTGGAACCACAATCTTCAGATCTCAGCCTCCTGAGTAGCTAGGATTGCAGGCGTGAGCCACTGGCGCTCAGCTTAGCTGTAACAATTTAACTTCTTTAAGTACTCCTTCTGGTATGTACTTCCAAGTTTTTATATAGATAGGGAGTTCTGTTGTAACATACCTATTTCCCATTTATTTTAGCCTTCTGATAACTTGACCCTCATTTGAGACGAGGAAATCAACAAACAGGAATAACTCTTGAACACAAGGAAAGAACCAATGTTTAAACTATCTAAAACAACCACAAAGTCTTCATCTGAATATTAGCCTTTTTGTTTGTTACTTTCTGGTGCTTCTGTAGTTCTTTCTGGACTAATCTTTTTGGCTTTTTTGCTTGCTTTTTGTTTTTATTTAAAGAATGTATAAATAATGGAAATACCATTTGATAAAAATGGAGATGATGTATTGCTGCAGATGTGTGCATTGACATTACCTAGCTGTCTCACAAGATGCTAAGTGATACACTTCTGACATTAAATAAAGCAATAAAGCCTTTTTCTGCCTCTTGCAGAGGTTAAAAATGCTTATAAGTTCACTAGGTCTTTTAAAATCACTTAGGAAAGGGAGAAGTACTTTGTACTTGGGTGCTTACTATATTTATTATTTAGCTGCCTTATGAAGGTGGTGGCAAACCGGTCTAATTTAGAAAAAGCTCATCATTAAAAATATTGCCTTAGCTGGGCACTGGTGGGCCACACCTGTAATCCTAGCTACTTAGGAGGCTGAGATCTGAGGATCATAATTTAGAGCCAGACAGGGCAGGAAAGTCTATTGACACTCTTTATCTCCACTTAACCACCAGAAAACCAAAAGTGGCATCGTGGCTCAAAATGGTAGAGCACTAGCCTTGAGCACAAAGCTTGGAACAGCACCCAGGCCCTGAGTTTAAGCCCCAAACCAATAAAAATAAATTTAAAAATAAATTTACATATATATATATACATATATATATATATATATATATTGCCTTGATGACTTCTTAGTTATTCCCCCTGAGCTCACAATATGTTCATATGAATTTCCCATTTTCTCCACTGTGTGCTAATCATTTGTCCTGCAAATGCAAGATCATTTACTTCTTGTCATCTGACTTACCTCTGTCGTCTCACATTATGCTTTCTTTTCCATTATAGTGAAAAATATGGGCATTTCAAAAAGAAATAATGTTCATTGTTTTCTATTTTCTATTTAGAAGTACTAATCCATGCATTCTGTCACATACCCTAAATGGAACAAATCATATGTTGCAGAATTTCATATGTAGAGACTGATCTATACCTCTTGCCGTGTGTCTATAATACCATCTTTCCCATTTAGCTTCATTTTTTATAGTTCGCCCCTTCTCATGTGGTTCTCTTGACATTTTTTCATCACAAGTCTTAGAATGTTTTTCTTTCTGCTGTTCTGTGTTAATGTTCCTTCTCTGATTATAATCTTGGCTTTTGAATTAAAAAGGCTAAGTCTGAACCTCCTCTTTTTATACTTCCCCTGTAGTCCTTCGGGGAACTTGACTGAGGAACTATAGCTGACAGTTGTACAGCTTACAATGATAGCTACTACTGTACGTTACAAAATTTACTGTTTTGGGCATGGTGTTTTCAGTTTTTTGGTTTTTGGGTTTTTTTTTTTTTTTGGTTGATCATAGGGCTTGAACTCTGGGCTTGGATGCTGTCCCTGCACTCTTCAGCTCAAGGCGAGCACTCTACCGCTTGAGCCACAGAGCTACTTCCAGTTTCTAGTGGTTTATTGGAGATTAGAGTCTCACCGACTTTACTGCCTGGGCTGGCTTTGAACTGTGATCCTCAGATCTCAGCCTCCTGAATAGCTAGGATTACAGGCGTGAGCCACCAGTGCCTGGCACGCTTACTTTTTGCTATAACCAACCAATATTCCCAACATTGGCTTGGGAATATTGCTTTGGTTTATTGATGAAGAAACTTGGTCTCAGAGAAGTTGTCATCTGCTCAAATTATGAAACAAGCCATTAGTGGAGCTAACTCATGATCTTAGTCTTCCGATTCTAAACCCCTGCTCTTTCCATCACACCTTCCTCTAGTGACTCACTTGAGATGTGTATATAAATTTCTTCCACCCTTACTGACTGCTAATCTCTGATCCTGACCTGCCTTTAGTCTTCTTTATTTATTTTTCTTACTTGAAACTTAATAGAATTAAGAACTGAGCATCTTGTGACAATGGGCGTAGCTTGGTGGTTAGAGTACTTTTTTAACATTTGCAGGGCTCTAGGTTCCATCCCTGCACATCTGATTATTGTCCCTACAGATTCTCCTCTGATTATTAGTATTATCATTAATCTTTTTCTTCTTAGTTTTTGCTTATTTTCTGTAGATTGACTCTTCATTCTCTGCTGTTGTCAAAATCTTACCTAGACTTTAAATTTTTGTTTCTATTTATTAAATGAATTTTTATACTATTTGATAATTATATATCTTACATTCATTTGCTGCCTTGTGATATCCCTGATGAAATTAACTTTTCTCATTTGTCTGTTTGTATGTGACTGTAGCACTGATGCAGGTGACAGCCCTGTTGGCAACACCACTGCAACCAACCTGGAGCAGCCTCAGGTTATCCCCTCTCAAGGTGATCTTCTCGGGGATCTTTTAAATCTTGACCTCGGTCCCCCTGTCAATGTGCCACAGGTGTCATCCATGCAGATGGGAGCTGTGGATCTCTTGGGAGGAGGACTAGATAGTCTGGTAAGCATCCCTCCTCCTTTTTCTTTGGTTATTTATAGTTCTTCATGTACTAAAGAATGTTATACAGTTTTTAGAAATAGACTATTCTTGGATGATCAGCAGTGTGCTTTGATAAAGAACAAGACTATTAATCTTTAGAGAGTTAATTATAATCTTGTTCATCACTAGTATTGGGCATATCTGCAAGTATATAGGATTATTTTGTTACTCTAGCAATCCAAATGATTAATATCCTTTCCAGAGTTTATTATTGCTCATTTTTGTTTGTTTGTTTTTTGGTGCTGATACTAGGGTTTGAACTCAGGGCTTGAGCTTTGTACCTTGACTTTTTTGTTCAAGGGTAGTGCTCTACTGCTTGAGCTATAGCTCCACTTTGGGCTTTTTGGTAGTCAGTTGGAGATAAGTCTTGTTGCACACTTTTTTTGCCCTGTCTAGCTTTGAACAAGGATCCTCAGATCTCACTTTCTTGAGCAGCTACGATTACAGGCATGAGACACTGGTGCCCAATGCTCCTACGTGTTAACTCTGGATAACCACCGCAAATTTGACTTAAAAATTGTTAAAATGGTTTCATAATGTTCACCTTATTTTGAAACTTCAAACCTCTGTATTTTAAATGTTTCATTGGCTTATTCCATGTTCAATTCTGAAAGGTTTTGAGGCAGTCGTTTGAGCCATTTTTGTATAAAATGTACTTTTATTACAGTTGAGAAAAACTGCTTGACTGTTTTTTTCCCTCCCCTTCTTTTCCATTTTCTTCTCATATTTCCAATTTAATTAGCTTCCAGGATTCTAATACTAAAAGGCTCCAAAGTCCAGAATATCTGTGGGTATGTGCTATCAATGGGAAACAAATTGTTTTGTCCTGTATAAGATGAATAAGAAATACTAAGTATGACCCTGACTCTGTAGAGAGATGGCCAGGAAAACAACAGGTCTAAATACCTGGCTTCCTTTAAACTAGGTGCTTAACTGTAATGGAATTAGAAAGGATCTTTTGTCTAGGCATTTGAAAAAGAGACATTTGGCAACTCGATGACTACAAAGATGCCCAACAAATCTGCTTCTGAGCATCACTGGAAGGTAGATACCATAGATAAAAAGATAATATGTTCTCATAGATTATATAAACAAACAGCTTACTCTCGGCTCATACTGTCATACTTTAGGGACAATATTGTATATGCCAGTCAGTGCAGATACAGTAAATTTTGGTTGGCAGAGAATCTAAGGAAGTAGGGTTATAGTCATATATCTGTGGGGGTGTACATTTACTGATGGAAAGAAGCAGTACTGCTTCCAGAATCTATACACTGGACAGTGGACTCCAGCTTATTAAGACAAATGATGACTCCTATTGTCTCTCTTGGGAATATCACATTTTTTTCATATTCTTACCTTTAACAAGTGGGCTTGTCTGCTTATATAAGCAGAATAGTTTCCTCATGAGGTCATTCCATATTTTGTTGTTGTAGCCTTCTTATTGACTTGAAGGTAGACCATTGAGTATTTAAATATTTAGGGAGGTCCCAAAGAATCCTTTATAAAATGAAAATAGTTATTACTAGGGCTTAAACTTGGGGCCCGGGCCATATCCTTTAGCTTTTTTTTGGGGGGGGAGGTCCGGTCATGGAGCCTGAACTCTGGGCCTAGGCACTGTCCTTCAGCTCTTCAGCTCAAGGCTAGCACTCTACCACTTGAGTCACAGCGCCACTTCCGGGTTTTTTCTTTTTGCTTATGTGGTGCTGAGGAATCGAACCCAGGGCCTCAGGCATGCAAGGCAAGCGCTCTACCACTGAGCCAATTTCCCAGCCCTCCCTTAGCTTTTTTGTTCAAGGCTGGTGCTCTACCACTTCTGGCTTTTTGAAGGTTGATTTGAGAGATTTGGGGCAGCTCTGAACTGCAGTTGTGAGATCTCAGCCTTCTGAAGTAACTAAGATTACAGGTGTGAGTCACTGATGCCTACCTTTTCTTAGGTCTTGACAGTCCCCCAAACCACAGAGTATTGCTACATAGCCCAGACTAACTTCAATTTTACTCTCTTTCTGCTTCAGTTGAGTACTGGGATTATAGACATGGGGCACTATGCTCAGAACTATCATGTTTCTTTCTTACCTATGTCTCACTTTTTTTTTTTCTTTCTTTCTTTTTGGTGGTGCTGGGGATTGATTCCAGAGGCTCACATTTGTTAGGCAAGCACTTGATTACTTGAGCCATATTCCCAAATTCCTGTACAGCTCCTTTTTTTCGTTGTTTGTTTTTTGTTTTTGTACTGGTCCTGGGCTTAAATTTGAGGACAGGGCACTGTCCCTGAGCTTTTGTGCTCAAGGCTACTAGTGCTCTACTACCACTTTAAGCCACAGCACATTTCCAGCTTTTGGGTGGTTAATTGGAGATCAGAGTGTCATATACTTTGCTGCCTGGGCTGGCTTTGAACCTGGATTCTCAGATCTCAGCTTCCTGAGTAACTAGGATTACAAGTGTGAGCCACTGATGTCCAGCTTGACATCTCTTTATATCAGACCAGAACCTTACCTTTAGAAGTCAGTGGTGTACTGCTAATATATATTGCCTTACAGCTCCTAACCTTTTTATGGCTCTAATTCTAGCTACATAACATTAATACCATTAAAAAAAATACCATCAGTATTAGGGCCAATAGTAATTAAACAAAACTGAGGCAAGACATAGACATAGCTATTTTTAGGAAGTTATACAGGTGGTTTTAATTTTGCAGACAGGTTTATGAAATTTAGTCAAATAAAATTCCAGTAGTTAGGTGGTTGATCTCTAAGCCAATATGGTGGCTTCTACAAACACACACATACACACACACACACAGGCACGCACGCACACGGAAAGCCTCATTTGACACAACTTAAAAAAGCCTAGCATCTGACTGTACCTTCGTTTACCTTTGTTCTCTCCAGGATATTTTTACATTATAATTTTTGTTATTAGAAGTTGGCTAGAAATTAAGTCTAACCAATTTTGAACTTCATATTCATTGTAGGATATTTTTATTCTTTCCTTTTTGTATCTTGCTGCTCTTCCCATTAGATCTTTGATATGTATGTGTGTATACGGAAGGGTGGGAGAAAGGGAGAGAAGAAAGGGAGAGAGGGAGAGGGAGAGGATGAGAATGTAATGTCTTTGATATTTAACCTACAAAACTGCCTGTTTTGGATGGGGTAGTATGGTTTTTCTTACAGTAAATCCTTCTGGTTTGGTGTAGTATAGGAAATGACCTGATGCCCACATGTACAAGTCTTTGTATGTGTTATATGCTTAGGATGTTGACATCTGTGAGGATTGCTGAAATAACCAGTGAACTTCATTAACTTGTTGCCTTTACTTTCAGTCTGTTTACAGAGGCTTATAGTAAATATTCTTTTGTTCATCCTAGGTGCTATGCATGATTCTATCTAGATGAACGTGGGAACTTCTTTTCTGTCAAGAGCATTTGATGTGGAATGTTAGCTGGTATTGATGTTTCTGCCATGAAAAAGCTCCTAGATTTCTTAAATTTCATTATCTTAGGCACACAAAGTGATTTCAAGGGACTTATAAGACTTGTAGCTGGACATTCCCCACCCCTGATCTAGATAAAATAATAATCATATATTAAAAAGAAAAAATGGAAAGGAAACTCAAATGCCTTTGCTGTATGCTAGCAAAGGACTTTATTCTAAAGAAATATATTTTCAGCCGGGTGCTGGTAGCTCACGCCTGTAATCCTAGCTACTGAGGAGGCTGAGATCTGAGGATCATGGTTCAAAGCCAGCCCCGGGCAAAAAAAAAGTCCGTGAGACTCTTATCTCCAATAAACCACTCGAAAACCAGAAGTGGCACTGTGGCTCAAGCGGTAGAGCACGCTCGTCTTGAGCTGAAGAGCTCAGGGACAGCACCCAGGCCCAGAGTTCAAGCCCCATGACTGACCAAAAAAAAAAACAAAAACAAATGTATTTTCATGAAGCATAGTGGCATGGAGAAGCTACCTTTTTAAAACTCCTAGTATTTAAAAAAAGCAAAAAAAAACACTCCTAGTATATATTTTTCACTCTACACTTTTTGTTTTTTAATCTTAAAAATATTTTATCAGGGGCTGGGAATGTGACTCAGTGGTAGAGTGCTTGTCTAACATGATGAAGTCCTGGGTGCAATTCCTCAGTACACATGAACAGAAAAAAGCCTGAAGTGGCACTGTGGCTCAAGTGATAGAGCACTAGCTGTGAGTCAAAGAAGCTCAGAGACAGTGCCCAGGCCCTGAGTTCAAGCCCCATGACAGGCAAAAAAAAAAAAAAAAAAGTCGGGGCTGGGAATGTGTCTTAGTGGTAGAGTGCTTGCCTAGCATGCATGAAGCCCTGTCTTTGATTCCTTAGTACCACATAAACAGAAGAAGAAAAAAAAAAAGCCACTGTGGCTCAAGTGGAAGAGTTCTAGCCTTAAGCAAAATAATAATATAATAAAATTTTGTCATGAGCTTTATTAATAGTTTTGAGCTTTTTAGTCTACAAGAAATTCACCATCTAGGCTGGGAAGGTGGCTCAGTGGTAGAGTACTTGCCTTGCATGCCTGAGGCCCTGGGTTCAATTCCTCAGCACCACATAAGCAAAAAGAAAAAAGCCGGAAGTGGCACTGTGGCTCAAGTGGTAGAGTGCTAGCCTTGAGCTGAAGAACTGAGGGACAGCACCCAGGCCCAGAGTTCAGGCCCCACAACTGGACCCAAAAATTAAAAAAAAAAAAAAAAAAGAAATTCACCATCTAAAGGAGTTTTGTACCAACAATTTTTCTTCCTTTGGAGGAGCTTTGCAGTAACTGAATACCTTAGTGGTATTTTTGTTTTGTTTGTTTTGTTGTAGCAGCACTAGAGTTCAAATTAAGGGCTTGGCCGGTCTCCAGTGGCTCACGCCTGTAACCTTAGCTACTCAGGAGACTAAGATCTGAGTTCAAAGCCAGCCCAGGCAAGAAAGGCTATGAGACTCTTATCTCAGAAAACTGGAAGTAGTGCTGTGGCTCAAGAGCGCTAGCCTTGAGCTGAAGATCTGAGGGACAGCGCCCAGGCCCAAAGTTCAAGCCCCATGACCTACAAGAAAAAAAAGTCATCAAACCACATAAGAGTATAGGGAAGGTGGCTCAGTGGTAGAGCGCTTGCCTTGCATGCTCAAGCAAAAAGAAAAAAGCCGGAAGTGGCGCTGTGGCTCAAGTGGCTAGAGCACTAGCCTTGAGCTGAAGAGCTCAGGGACAGCACCCAGGCCCAGAGTTCAGGCCCCACGACCGGACCAAAAAAAAAAAAAAGAGTATAGGACAAACGAGATGTTTTAGGGAGGCCTTTTCATGATTTTTTTGTTTGGCTTTCTTACTTAGAAAGCATTTTTTTTTCTGCTTAAATTCTGTTCAAAGTCATTCCTCAACAGATGAATTTTGTCTGACTCCAAGTAGTAATTAGTTCTCTAAGGTTGGCTGGACATTAGAATGAACTCGAGGATCTTTTCAAAATTCTGATGCCCAGACTATACTATAGAACAATAAATCACTATCTCTGGGAGTAAGACTCAGGCAATTGAAGTTTTTAAAAGCACCCCCCCACACACACACACAGGTGATTGATTCTGTTGTTTAAGGTTGAAATAATAATTACTGGAACATTATTACTAGTACTATTGAAAATTGAAATCATAGTCTAAGAAACCTCCAGGTTTTTGTTTAGTGCTGGTACTAGGACCTGAACTCTATTCACTCAGCTTTTTTTTTCTTTTTTTGGGGGGGGGGGGCGGTTCCGGTCCTGGAGCCTGAACTCTGGGCCTGGGCACTGTCCCTGAGCTCTTCAGCTCAAGGCTAACGCTCTACCACTTGAGCTACAACGCCACTTCCGGCTTTTTTTCTTTTTGCTTATGTGGTGCTGGGGAATGGAACCCAGGCCTCTTGCATGCAAGGCAAGCGCTCTACCTCTGAGCTACCTTCCCAGCCCCTCACTCAGCCTTCTTGAAAATGGCTTGGAGCCATGCCTGTAGCCTGCTTTTTGCTGATTATTTTGGCATTGGAGTCTCATGAACTTTTCTGCCTGTTCTGGCTTTGAACCTCAGTCCTCCAGGCCTTTTTCTTCTTTCCTTCCCTTTGTCTCTGTCTCTCGTCCCTCTTCTTTCCTACTTTTCTCCTTTCCTCCCTTTTCCCTTCCCTCTTCTTTCCTTCCTTCCTCCCTCTCTTCCCCTTCATGTCTTTTTTCCTCCCCCCTCCTTTCCTGTTTCCTTCTCTCTCCCCCCTCTCCCTCTTTCCTTCTCTCCCTGTCTCCTTTCCCACCCTCCCTCTCACCCAGCAGTATTGGGGTTTGAACTCAGGGCCTCTGTCTTGATTCATTTGCTTGCTCTACAGGTGCTCTAACACTTGATCTATTCCTCTAGCCTGCCTCCAGGCTTTTAGAAGGGGGAAAATACAAACTAAAGACCTCCCAAAATTTTATTGACTTTGCAAACTTACTTTGTATTTATTTTTTAAATAAATAAACCCACACATCTTCTGTGGGCTTCATTCTTAGTTATTCTATTTATTTTAACTGATTGTGATTTTACTCCTGCTTCTTCAGTTCTTGTGCATGGTATTTAAGAAATGTAACTGGACACAATAGGCTCGTGCCTGTGATTCTAGTTATTTAGGAGGCTGAGACCTGAGGATCACATTTCAAAGCCAGCCAGGACAGAAAAGTCTTGAGAGACTCCATTTCTAAAAATAACCAGCAAAAAGTCGGGTTGGAGGCCCTGAATTCAAGGCTCCTAAAAAGGAAAGAAATAGTAAAAGAAATGCCTCACACCTATTTTTGCTTTTCTAAAATTACTCCCATTATAATCCGACATTACAGTGTCCTTTGAAACTTCAGTTCATATCCTTTAGCCAAAAGGAGGGTTTTCCCCTCCGAATTCTCTTTTTACTTGAGTTTATTATGTGTGGGTGTACATTCTCATTTCTCCTGCCAATTTGCAAAGCCTACTTCTTATCTGTGTAGTCCCTTTATTACTTTGCATCTTTGCATGCCTTTTGTGCAGTAATGTTGTATAACTTTAGAAAAAAAAAGAATTTTATGCTTTTGCAATGTCATGCTGTAAACATGCACTATTATAGAAGCAGGAAGAAAGCAGATATGTAATATCTTTTGTTTGCTTTCATGCTCTTCCAGTTATTCAAATTCTTGATAGATATGACTTTTTCTATTTGTCCAAATGTATGATTTCTATCCTATGACCAGCCACTAAGTAATCTTCAGGACGCAGATTTCAGGAAGCAGTCGGCTCTGTGATTTGAGTACCCTGTAGTGTAAGGCAGAGACTCTGCATGCTGTTACTAGGCACCTGCTGGGTTTCTTTTCACATTATTTTTTTTAGTGCAGTTTGATAATTACACTTTTTCCAGTGCTTTTTTGTATACTAGTTTCAGTTCATAGGGAAGATAATAAATCCTCATTCCCAAATCCTAAGGACACAATACCATCTCTTTTTTAAAATGTAACTGTAGCATAATGAGACTACAAAGGACAGTATCTAGACTTTCAGTCTGTTTTTAGAGCAGACAAGGCATTTGATGATTCAAAAAGGTGCTGTATAGATGTACATTGAGAACTAGAGAGGAAGAAATGTGGAACTGCTGGGGAAAAGAAAGGTTCTACTTTGTAAACATTGTCATTAGTTGCATATATGTGTTTTGCACTTCTTGTATGCCAGTTCTTTTTAGCTTCAGTTCTTCTTTAATTAATACTTTTGTTATGAAAGACTATGTGGACACTAAGACTATGTGGACTTATTTTCCTGTCATCTAGCTTAGTTATTCTAACTCTCTAATGCTTAGCATCCTTTTGAATGTTCTCCAAATAAATAAATCATAGCATTTGTACTTAGTAGTATTGATTACGAGAGATGCCTCCCTACTTCCCTCTAATGGGAGCTATCTTTCTGTATCAGCTATTTGCTTTCTTAGCAATGCTTAAGCTCTAAAAATAATTTGTTTTACCTATAGTTTTTGAAGGTCAATACTAGTTTGGTGTTCACCACCTCAGTGATACAGCTAGCTTTGTAAATCAAAGTGTGTTTACTTTTTCTTTGCTTGCCCACTCCCTTTCCCTTTTACATTTCTTTTTAAAGAAAAAACATATCAGTACATTACTGCCTGGGAATAGAACTTTTTGGAGTATGCAGACTCTAAATCTTGTTTGGTTAGTGCCTGCATATCTTGATAGAAAGATTGGATCTGAAACATCCCTGAGGTATCTCAGCTCCATCTTTCTAAGCTTTTACAAACACCCATAGCCCATCACTCCAACACTTGGTTCTCCTAGGACATATTTGTAGCAATCCAGAATTTCCTTAGGCTTTAGGAGATAGTGAGTGGCATATATTTCCAGCAACTTGGTAGAGCAAATTTACAGATTCTATATGGGCATCTAGTACTTAGCTAAATGAACTCTACCTCTCTCTCCTCTCTCTCCTTTCTCTCTTTCAGCTTGGCAGTGACCTTGGCGGGGGCATTGGAGGAAGTCCGGCAGTAAGTGCCATCCGTTTTTTTCACCATGAGAAGCGCTGCCCCATTTGATGCCTTTCCTTTGCACACATACTCATACTGGCCACTGCTGCTCTCTAGCACTGCATGCCAAAACCTCTTTAGGAGTCTAAAGTAGAATAGGATTACTTGGAATCTTGGGGGCCATGCAGCACATGTGATATAGGGACATCTTTAGGGATTGGTATGCTTGGTGCCAGTAGAGATCTTTGTGTTTCTGATATTAAAGAGCTGAAGGAAATGGAACATCCCCTCTGGACTAGAGAATGCTTTTATTTCCTGGTGTCATCTAGAAAGTTTTAAGAGAGTCAGCTTGACTCAGAGTGAGACTCTCCTCATAAATGAGTTGGTTTGGGAGTATGAATATCATCTCCCCCAGGAGAGCTTCCTGCTAGATATTTATGCCTAAAGTGGGAGTAAAAAATGGCTGAACCCAAGTGGAAATGGAACTTCTGATTATATAGGACGCTCCTCCCTCTTTCTGTAGAAAAACAAACTCTTCTTTCATTAAGATACCTATAGGCCTTTTGCACAGAATCATGGAAGCTAAAATTGGAAACAGATGCAGTCTTGGATCACTGTGTTCCTATATCCTTCTGAGTACTTTGTCTTGATAAAGTTTCTGAAGTGTCTGTCTTTTATTGGTGATGAAAAAATACCTACTAATTTGGCTTTTTACACTGAGTGTTGGAACTGTGGTGTTTTCCAATTGATGTATAAATGCTGTTAAAATAGCAACATTTTAAGGACTATTAATCTGTTCTTCCTGATCTCTCTTCCCTTTTTTTTCCCTGCAGGTGGGACAGTCCTTTATCCCATCATCAGTGCCTGCAACCTTTGCTCCTTCACCTACTCCTGCTGTGGTCAGCAGTGGTCTCAATGACCTCTTTGAACTCTCCACGGGGATAGGCATGGCACCTGGAGGATATGTGGCTCCTAAGGCTGTAAGTAAAGAATTTGCATAACACCACTTACTCAGTGAGAAAAACCCAAGTTTCTGCTAATATTTATATTACATCCAGTAGTAATAAACGTAAAGTTTAGCCTTTGTTCTGGGAGATATATGAGAAAGATGAAAAGTGGCTTCAGACTAAGCAGAGAATACTGTTAACATCCTTATTAAACATTTCTATAATTAGACTTAAAACTAGAAATATTAAGTATTTGAGTTTTGATCTCATGTTTAGAAATATTTTGTACAGTTTTTGAAGTGAATTTAGTAAAAGCCTGACATACAGTGCATCAGCAGGAGAAAAAAAAAACTGTAGAGAATAACAACCTTGTTTTGGTTTTTAATGATATTAAGATTTTTTTTTTTTGGGTCCGGTTGTGGGGCCTGAACTCTGGGCCTAGGCGCTGTCCCTCAGCTCTTCAGCTCAAGGCTAGCGCTCTACCACTTGAGCCACTGCGCCACTTCCGGCTTTTTTCTTTTTGCTTATGTGGTGCTGAGGAATAGAACCCAGGGCCTCTGGCATACAAGGCATGCGCTCTACCACTGAGCCACCTTCCCAGCCCCCCTTGTTTTGGTTTTTAATGATACTAAGATTTTTAACCAGCCTTCCATTTGCTAGGCAAGGACTCTAACACTTGAGCTATACTTTTCCCTCTCTCCCCCATTTTTTTGCTTTTGTGTCTTTTCAAGATTTTTGCCCCAAGCCAGTTCCTCTCCCAGGAGCTAAGATCACAGGTACATATTACCATCATGCCCTGCTTATTTATTGAGTTTGGGTCTTGGTAACCTTTTGCTAGGGTTTGCCTTGAACCATGACCTGATTTCTACATCCTGAGTAACTGTGATTACAGGTGTGAATTGTTTGGTTACAGTGTGAGAAGTAACATTTTTACTTGTTACTACCTGTTTCACTTTCCTCATTGGTATTACATATGGATTCTAGATTAATTCTAGGTGGATTCTAGAGTGCCATTCCTCCAGATTTGGTCTTCATAGGTTTTTAGTGTACCTCCTTGCTCCTTAGACTGCTGATTGGTTTGTGTCATTATGGTCTTCCAATTCTTGACTTTGCTTGATGTCACTCAGATTGAAACTGAAGGCAAGAAACTACTGATAAATGAAGTTCATATGAGCTCTTTGGAAAAGTTGTAGCCAGACTAGGGTAGGCTTTGCATAATCTCAACATGCCTGATTGCTTACTAATTTCTCTGCTTCTGCATCTGATACCATGTGGGGAATCCTTGCTGTAGAGAGGTAAACCAGTTTTCCATCCTGGGAGCCTAGTCGTGCGTGCGTGCGTGCGTGCGTGCGTGTGTGTGTGTACACATCCATTGAATAGAACAACCGAAAATGTAACTCAAAACTGAACCTTAATGGAGTTTGGTTTTTGTTTTGTTTTGTTTTGCTGGTCCTAGGGCTTGAGCTCAAGGCCCAGGTGCTGTCCCTGACTTTTTTGCTTAAGGCTAGTGCTTTACCACTTGAGCCACAGCTCCACTTCTGTCTTTTTGAGTAGTTTATTGGGGATAAGAGTCTCACAGACTTTCCTGTCTCAGCTGGCTTTGAACCCCAATCTTCAGATGTCAGTCTCCTGAGTAGCTAGGATTACAGGTGTGAGCCACTGGCACTTGGCTGCTGTAGTGTTTTGATACATTTTAGTAGCTTTGTCATAAGATCTACTCTGCCAGATATCCACAATCTTTTTTTAAATTGTAGTTCAGATATACATACATTTATATTTTACTCAGAATAACCTTCTTTACTGCCTTATTGATTGATAGCTTTCATTGAAAGTCCTTGCCTTCCATCTTTTTTAAATTAAAATTTTATCCAGCTGGGCACTGGCACCTCATGCCTTTATCCCCAATTACTCAAGGGGTTGACATCTGAGGATCAAAGCCAGCCCAGGATGAAGCCCTGGGTTTGATTCCTCAGTACCCCATAAACAGAAAAAGCCAGAAGTGGCGCTGTGGCTAAAGTTGTAGAGTGCTAGCCTTGAGCTAAAGAAAAAGAAGCTTAGAGACAGCACCCAGGCCCTGAGTTCAAGACCCAGGACTGACAAAAAAAAGGAAGGAAGGAAGAAAAAAGAAAAGAAAGAAGAATTGCCGGTGGCTCCCACCTATAATCCTAGCTACTCAGGAGGCTGAGATCTGAGGATCATGGTACAAAACTAGCTTGGATAGGTATATCTGTGAGACTCTTATCTCCAGTTAACCACCAGAAAAGCAGAAGTGGCACTATGGCTCAAGTGGTTGAGTGCTCAGCTTGAGCTGAAGAGCACAGGGACAGCACGCAGGTGCAGAGTTCAAGCCCCACAGCCAACAACAACAACAAAAAAGGCAGCCCAGGTAGGAAAGTCCATGAGACTCATATCTTCAGTTAATTTCCAGATTATAGGCATACTGTTTCCACTAGTAGATTTTGTTTCTTCTCTTTAAACTCTTATCAAATGTAACAGAAAAGCACATAATCATTGGAATTCTCTTTTACTTATTTATAGATTTGGTTTTTTAATACAATGCCCAAATTAAGGTAGAAAAAAAAGGCTGGGTTTTGGTTTTGGCTTGGTATTCTTAAATAGTTGAGAATGATCTCAAAATTCAGAAAATAATTCTTTATCTAATCCAGGACCTTTCACAATGACTTGTTATTTATAGTATAAAAATCATCATAATTGCCTAAAGAAGAGAAATGTTAATTTCACCTTTGCATGTTATAAATTAAATAGCATCAAGATAAATTGTGCCTGGTTCTCTCGGGCTTTATATACTGTTTTAGGTCTGGCTACCTGCAGTGAAGGCTAAGGGCTTGGAGATTTCAGGAACATTCACTCACCGTCAAGGGCACATCTATATGGAAATGAACTTCACCAATAAAGCTCTGCAACATATGACAGACTTTGCAATCCAGTTCAACAAGAATAGGTAAGAAATAGAGAGTTTGATAGATGTCAGCATTGTACCTTGTGTCCAGTGAGAAAATCCTCTTAATACTGGGTAAAAAGTCATATATTAAGCCGGGTGCTGGTGGCGCATGCCTGTAGTTCGAGCTGCTCAGAAGGCTGAGGTCTGAGAATCATAATTTGAAGCCAGGGGAGGAAAATTGTGAGACTCTTATCTCCACTTAACCAGCAAAAAGCTAGAAATGGAGCTATGGCTCTAGTGGTAGAGTACAAGCTTTGAGTGAAAAAGCTCAGGGACAGTACCCAGGTCCTGAGTTTAAGCCCCAGTATTGGCACAAGAAATTAAGTCACATAATGGCAAATTCTGAATGTAGAGTGGGCTTTGGCTCTTGCAAGTCTACTTGGTTGTCAGCTTCAGTTCTTAGAGACCCTAGAGAATATTTTAGAGAAACATCTATATGGAAGGAAGAAACTCGAACTTAATTGTTTTCTTTTTTAAAAAAAATCTGGTAAGCTGGGCACCAGTGGCTCATGCCTATAATCCTAGCTATTCAGGAGGTGAGATCTGAGGATTACAGTTCAAAGCCAGCCTGGGCAGGAAAGGCTATGAGACTCTTATCTCCAATAAACTGTCAGCAAACCAGAAGTGGTTCCATGGCTCAAATGGCAGAGCACTCACCTTGAGCTGAAGAGCTCAGGGACAGCACCCAGGCCCAGAGTTTAAGCCCCACGACCAACAACAACAACAACAAAAAAAATCTGGTAATACAATATTTTAATGCTTTTATTTGGAACCTATTTATCATTTACCACATTGTTGTTGAGATCTGTATGCCAGACAATTTCTAGGTACTTGAGTAGTGAACCAAGCATCTAAAGTTCATATTTTGAAAAAAAATAAAGTTCATATTTTGGTAGAAAAATTAATGTATTTCGATTGGTACTAGAAATATGAGAAAACAAACACCATTTATACTAACTACATAGCCACATACAGGTTCTTTTTTTTTGTCAGTTGTGGGGCTTGAACTCTGGGCCTGGGCACGCCTGCCCCTCAGCTCTTCTGCGCTCTACCACTTGAGCCACAGTGCCACTTCTGGCTTTTTCTGCTTATGTGGTGCTGAGGAATCGAACCCAGGGCCTCATGCATTCAAGGCAAGCGCTCTACCACTGAGCCACCTCCCCAGCCCCACATACAGGTTCTTAGCAATGAATTCTCTGCCTTAATAAAGAGGAGAAAATACTGATATTTTTGTAGTTGCTGTAGCACTAATTGCTTTTATTAAATTTTATGGTTGGAAGAGGGAGGGGAACTGGCTACCTAAGAGATCCATTCATTTGTGGGTTTTGTTGTTGTTTATTGGGTTTGTTTGTTTTTGTGCTGGTCCTGGGGCTTGAACTCAGGGCCTGGGTACTGTCCCTGAGCTCTTTTCTGCTACAACTTTGAGCCAGAGCTCTACTTCCAGCTTTCTCTGAGTAGTTAATTGGAGATAAAAGTCTCACATACTTTCCTGCCTGGGCTGGCTTTGAACCATGAACCCCCTAATCTCAGCCTCCTAAGTAGCTAGGATTAAAGGTGTGAGCCACCAGCGCCTGGTAGATCCATTCATTTGTAAATACAAATCTTCAGCTTATCACAGAGTAATACTGCTAGTCCTTCTACTTAATTAAAGTAGTCATGTTGAACTGAAAGCCCTTTGTACAATACAACTATTTAAAGATAATAAAAATAAAAATTTTAAATAAAAAGTAATTTAAAGAAATTGTTTCTTTTCCCAGCACTATCAATAAAAAGTTTCTTTCAATTAGGGTAAAAAGTCATTGAAACCTAGAACTGTCGCTCAGTCCAGCCTCTTGACTAATGCTGTGATTTCTTCCATCTCCTCCCTAAGCTTTGGTGTCATTCCAAGCACTCCTCTGGCCATCCATACCCCACTGATGCCAAACCAGAGCATTGATGTCTCCCTGCCTCTCAACACCTTGGGCCCAGTCATGAAGATGGAACCTCTGAATAATCTGCAGGTCAGAGTTTTACTTCACTTGAATAGTACTGGTTAACGTTTTGCTGATTTTTACTTATATGTAAAACAGCCCCTCTGTTGTAGTACGTATATTGTTGCTGAATGCCACATAAAGAAAAGAGGCTGACTTAGCTTGGTAGGTTTAAGAGCACGATGCCAACATTTGTTCGTCCTTGGTTCTGTCCTTTGGTTTATAGCCTCGTTGTTGCAGATGTCATGTAACAGGGAAAGGTCAGGTGGCAAGACAAGAATCCAAAAGCAGGATAGGGGATGGTCTTTTTTTTTTTTTTTTTAATGAAAATGTAATCTTTTGAGCAGAGTCCCAGAAGAACCTGTCATTAGGCTATTTTCCCACCTCAACCTCAGCACACTGAGGGCCCACTCTCGCAACAGGACAGACCTTTCCTCCTTAGTCCTCTCTTTCTTAAGTTAGAGTTTTCTCTGAATAGAGTTTGAAATCATTTGTGGAGAAGAGTTTATTTTCTTTTCATAAGTAAAACAGAAGCCATAAAGAATTACTCATTCTTTTAATCTCTAACATTTAGAAACTTTTTTTTTTGTAATGGGGCCCGAACTCTGGGCCTGGGCGCTGTCCCTCAGCTCTTCAGCTCAAGGCTAGTGCTCTACCACTTGAGCCATAGTGCCACTTCTGGCTTTTTCTGCTTCTGTGGTACTGAGGAATCAAACCCAGGGCCTCATGCATGCAAGGCAAGCACTCTACCACTGAGCCACCTTCCCAGCCCCATTTAGAAACTTTTAAACTTATTTGCAAATTTTTTCCTGTAAGGGCTTCTATAGCAAAATTTGAATGTAATTTATATAACAACAGATTTCAGAGGAAATTTATATATTTATCTTTGCATGTTGGACTGCAAGTAGCTGAGTTATTTGGATTTAAATGTCTCTGTTAGCACATAGCTGAGATAATTGTAGCATCTTAAGGAGCTAAGGACTTTAACTGATTACTAGAGCCTCACAGCCTTGACAATTAATATGCTTAGGTTGGAAAGTTTCTCTGTAAACCTTCTGGGTTCAAGCAACATGAATGTAGAGTAGTAGCCTCCTAAGCTAAAGTTGTAGCAGCTTTGATGGGATATTTTGCACAGCTTTAAGTCCTACAGGTTGTAAGTTTCTTAACATGGCATCTTGCTCTGTAGCCCAGGCTAACCTCCCAACTTGAGTCCTCCTGTCTCAAACCTCCTGAATAGCTGAGATGACAGCCATGTGCTATTGAGCCCCGCTGAGATTTGTGTCTTGAATGTTCACAAAAACAAAGTAAACTTCATTAGAGCAATTTGAGATAAGGAATTAGAAAAATATCCCTGACATCCAAGAAAGGAGTGATAAAATTTCCCTCTCAGAAGCCAGATACCTGTACCTCATGCCTGTAATCCTAGCTACTCAGGAGGCTGAAATGTGAGGATTGCCATTGGAAGCTAGCCTGGGCAGAAAAGTTTGTGAGACTCTTATCTTCAGTTAACCACAAAAAGCCAGAAGTGGGACTGTTGCTCAAGTAATAGAATTCTAGTCTTGAGCTCAGGATGGCACCCAGACCCAAAGTTTAGGCCCCAGGGCTGGTTTAAAAAAAAAAAAAGTTTCCCTCTCTGCAGAGTTCTTGGTGGACTCTTGTGAGAAGTCTAAGGCCCACTCATGCCATACACCAATATATAGTACAAGTTTATACTAGTTATACATTACTCTAATATTCTCCACATCAGTAAATTAAGGTAAAATTGGCCCAGGATGAATGAAACCTAGAGTACTTGGCAAAAGCAAATAGAGAACAGCTCTTCAGCTGTAGTTCCAAGGTTTAGAGCCATTAGGACTCCCAACTGAGAAGAAAATCCCTACTGAAAGTAAGTTCACAATTAACAAAAAGAACAGGAAAGGAAAAATTGTGGTGTAAACAAAGTCCCCAGGGAAAAGGATTGGCGTCTCTCCTAGGAACTGAGATGATAGAACTGTGTGAATGAGACTGAAAAATGTTTACGATGATGAGTGAAAAATATTGGTCTTCTACTTTCCTGTCAAGTTAGGTAAGACCCCCATCTCTTGACCTTTCACAAAGAGCAATGTAGACACTAGTTACTGATTGTGAGAAGACAGTAAATGAGCTTTAGAGGTAAGGTTAAACTGCCCTTAGTATTTCAATTCCAGTGTACCCACATGTTCGCCAGGTTACTACCTTGTTATCACAGTTGTTGCTTGCTTTTTTTTTTTTTTTTGCAGAAGGAGTAACAGATTAGAGAGTAGACAAATGAGTCACAATATATCTTGGCTCAGAATAAAATAAAACAAGAATTACTATGCAGATAGATTTGGCTGTTACTATGGTGAAAGTAATGTGTTAAAGTGCTTTTTCCAGCTCATGGTCCTAAAGTAACTAACCCAAATCTTCATCTAATCTCTTTTCTTGCAATTGTACCTCCCATTGGCCCACAAAGCCTCAAGGCTAATATTTGAGGACAGTCAGCATGCATGCAAGAATACTTTCTTCAGAAGCAGAAAAGAGAATTTGGGTCACAGAAAGCAGAGCAAATTCTTAGATCTTAAAAAGAAAGTAAAAAGAAAAGCCAGGCACCTGGTGCTACCCCTCACCCGCCCCTCACTCTGGTCCTGGGGCTTGAACTCTGGGCCTGAGCACTGTTGCAGGACTCCTTTTGCTCAAGGGTTATGCTCTACCACTTGAACCACAGCGTCACTTTGGACTCTTTTCTGTGATTAATTGGAGGTAAGAGTGTCACAGACTTTTCTGTCTGGGCTGGCTTTGAAGTGTGATCCTCAGATCTCAACCTCCTGAGTAGCTAGGATTACAGGCCTAAGACAGGCTTAAATTGTAGAACAGTAGCTTTGATCACAAAGCGGTTCAGGGACAGCACTCAGATCATGAGTTCAAGCCTCAGGACCAGCACCAAAAAAAAAAATCCCTTTAAGTTTCTTCTTTCAAAATAACTGTATAGTCAAAGCCCATAGAACTCATAAACTTTATAGACCATGATAGACAATTTGCCCATGAAGGTTAGAATGTGTTTATGACTTTAACTAAGCATCACTATCCCACAATATTGCAAAATTATGTAATCACTTAATCACAATAAAAAATTTGCAAAAAAAAGTTTCTTCTTTCAGCCATAATTATGGCTTTCTAATTAATAGGTATTTCCCAATTGAGAATATAAGCAAAACTTGGGGGGAAAATTCCCCCTTAGAAAACTCTAATAATTAGCATCTGCTGGTAGAAATTGAAACTAATGGCTAGCTTAAGATGAGTAAGTTATGTTAAATTTCAGCTTCTATTTTGCAGTCGTACCCCTATGATCAAGAAGAAGCAAAACTTGGGGCAGGGTGGAGGGAGAAGATGGGAAGGGGAAACAAAGGAGGAGGCAACAATGCTTTTTTTTCCTTTTTTTGGGGGGGGGTGAGTCCGGTCGTGGGCCTGAACTCTGGGCCTGGGCACTGTCCCACAGCTCTTCAGCTCAAGGCTAGCGCTCTACCACTTGAGCCACAGCACCACTTCCGGCTTTTTTTCCCCTGCTTATGTGGTGCTGAGGATTCGAACCCAGGGCCTCATGCATGCAAGGCAAGCGCTCTACCACTGAGCCACCTTCCCAGCCCCGGGAACAATGCTTGATAAGAAATGTACTCATTATCTTGCCCATGTAATTGTAACCCCTCTGTATGGTATTTTCACAATAATCATTAAAAAAAAAAGCAGCAAAACTTAATTCCAATGCTTGAGACATGTTCACACACACAGGCTCTGAATTCAATTCCTGGTACTGGAAGGAAAAAAAAACCAAAAACTAAGAAAATCTCTTAATTCCAACAAATTAGATCATGTAGATAAATCCAGCTAAAGCTAGGTCAAGATTAATTTAGTATTTAAATATATTTACATGTTTAGATTCTAGAGTTAAAGTTGGAAAGTTAGCACTTTTTTAGTACTCTGAGATCATAAAGCCAGGAAAGAAAAAATATTTGGGAACTGAGAAAGAGCAACTTTAAATGCCATGTGGATTTTCACTGTTTTAACTAATTTCAAATCAGTGTTTAGAACAAATAAAGCAAGCACAGCTATAAAAACTATAATGGATCATATTTTTTATTTATTTTTTTGGGGGGGGTCCGGTCGTGGGGCCTGAACTCTGGGCCTGGGCGCCGTCCCTCAGCTCTTCAGCTCAAGGCTAGCGCTCTACCACTTGAGCCACAGCACCACTTCTGGCTTTTTTCTTTTTGCTTATGTGGTGCTGAGGAATTGAACCCAGGGCCTCAGGCATGCAAGGCAAGCGCTCTACCACTGAGCCACCTTCCCAGCCCCCAAACTAGATAGTTTTTTATCTCTTTCCCACCTTTTAAAAAAATCTCTTCGCCACCTTTAAACTTCATAAACATGATTGAATAGAAGATAAATTTTACTTAGGGAAAAGAAGCTATCTCTTATGTTTTTTTTTTCTTGGAATGTCTCTTCTAAAACAAAGCCATTTTCATCTGTTCTGTTCATTAGCCTTTGGATGGTGAGGGCAGGAAGTACTAAAGATACTAGCTACAAAGGACATAATCTTCCAATTGTGCTATTCTTGTTTTTTAAGATTTTTGTCAGCCAAGGGGGGATTTGCAAATGTACATCCCTGAGCAAATTCTGTCCCTTGTGACTCCTACATTTCAGTCTCAGCCTGGTGAGACAGTCAGTTGCAGATGGTGCCTGTCCCTGATATTTCATGTCTTGCGTATGTCCATTCACACTCAAAGCCCACAGCTGTAGCTATTGTACCAGAAAAACTGGTAACTGCTTCCAAACGGAAGACCTTTTCAGCAGCTTCCATCAAATGAAACAAACTGGCTTGGCATTTACGGACTTTTCTTGACTGTTGTGCAATCCAAACAAGTTCAGTGTTAAAGCCCGCTTTGGTCTTCCAAGATCCATAGTTGAGGACTACACACTCCAATGGTTTTTATGGAACTACAGTACTGCTTGTATATACATTGAGTCTTTGTGTGTGG